CCGACAAATGGTCACGTCTCTTCACTGCCAACTGGTGCTCATGGATTCGTGTGGAGACGGATCTTCCTGATTGGCCACAAAATACTGTGTCACAAGCTATCTGGTTCCAACAAAAAGAAACCAGATAGTCCCACTCAGGCGCCCAAAGCAAACACATGGCGAATCCTTCCTTATGTAAGGAGCGTGTCTGAACTTGTTGAAAGACACTTGAGGAAACACCAGATAAAAGTGGCGCACAAACCGATGGCTACTTTATGCACCCAGCTAGTACACCCTAAGGATAGGGTTCGCTACCTGGACAAGAAAGAAGCCATCTACAAAATCCCATATAAAGCTTTTGACACAGTATTTTGTGGCCAAACAGGAAGATCCGTCTCCACACGCATCCGTGAGCACCAATCGGCAGCGAAGAGACGTGACCATTTGTCCGAAGTGGCTATGCATTGTCTTGACACAGGACATACGTTTGCATCTGACAAAGCACGCATCTTCGGAGTTTGCCCCTCCAAAAAAGGCAGAGAATCTCTTGAGGTCATGCACTCCGGTGATTCATGCGTCAACCGGCCTATAGAGTTAGCGGGAGTGTACAAACATCTCAAAGAAAGGTGGAAGAGAATACAGTCGACAACTATGACCAACAATAACCGCAATTAGCGCCCACACCGGATGACCTGGACTGACCCCGGACCGACTCAAATTACTGTTGCCAATTAGCTATTACGCTATTGCGACTACTAATTATGTCCACCACGATAAGACGCCAATTGCAACTCCTAATTAGCCTCCACATCAGATGACTGTACAATTGCATCAGCACTTTGAAATGTTAACTGTTCTTTGCACATTCTTCTCATAGCCAACGATGACCTGGGGATCCAGTGCCAAAAATTTCTAAATAAATTTACTCATTTTCCCAAAGGACGCCTTTCCTTGGAATATTTCCGTGTCTGAACCCTTACACTAATCCTAATATAATAATAAGCTCTGCTTTTAAGCTTAGGCGTAGCCTCACCCTAAATCTTAGAGTTAATATGAAGCCAAACCTTAACTCTTCACATAATCTCGACCCCAATCCCAACTCTGATGTTAGCCTTAACCCTGAATTTTACCCTAATCTTCACCATACTCCTGAACTTAATTCCCCAGGAATTTGACGTGAAGTCATATGCACTGTGAGCGGTTCCTGATCCTGTGTCCTGGTTGGGCAGGCGTACAAGCCATCCTTACCAAATTGTCTTCATCCGAAATTTCGGATTATGTTACTGTCCCTATAGGCAGGAATCACCTGAAAATCAGAAACCTCGGACGAATAAATTTCTTTCTCCCGTACTTACGTCTCTTTTTTCCCATCTGCGTCTTGGAACACTCGCCTTTGCGTTTCTATCGCCAATTATTTAGATAGTTCTATTTTGTTCTTGACCGTTGATTCGATTCAGAGTCTATGACTTCTCTACTAACTTTCACACTTTAATTTTTCCAGTTAGTAGGTCAAGAGATTTACTAAGGCTTCCATGCATGTTCATATCCAGACTACAAGCTCGCGCGTTCACACCTGGCCAAACATTTTGCTACAAGTAGGCTGAATCAACTGCCTGAAACATCGTAGTTCAACTAATTTGAGAAGCGAATTAACAGAGTCCGTGGTAGGTGTGATATTTACGGAGATCTCTCCAAACGGTAAGCTACGTTGCGCTAAAAGTAAGCAGCACTGCTGGTTAACTGTAGGGCCTAAGAAGCAATGACAGATAGGTCATCTTAGCCGTGGGTAATACGCCCAAAAGACATATGGCTGATCGGAGTCCGACGACTTGCGCGACGACATCAAAGCGAATGGAAGTCTGTAATCCAGTTAACGCTGTTTTTCCCAGTTCGTTCGTGAGGCATTGCAGGAATGTATGGGTAAACCTCATCGCATATATTAGCATTCAGTGTACCTGAGAAAATGCGACGTTTGAATGCAAATAACACCAGGTCTACCGAACCCTCTATGGAATATTCACCCACCATCGACACTTCAATTAGTACTGACCACCTTTCGTTTGAATATGGGTAGATGTACCCCGGGACTATGGCAAAAGGCCACCTGTACTACGGAGTGTTCTTAAGTATGAAAAAGTGGCAGAAAACTGGACCATGAACCGCCCGTAATACAGGTAGCTTTTCGCTAACTTCCATCTTGAATC